CCTCAAGTTGCACCAGGGGAAGTTCAGATTGGATCTGAGGAAAATCATCTTCACCCAAAGGGCAGTCGAGCATTGGAACAGGCTGCCCAGGGAGGTGGTGGAGTCGCCTTCCCTGTTGGGATTTAACAGACAGGCAGATGAGGTGCTCAGGGACATGGGTTAGAGGTGGAATTGGTTTAGGGTTGGACTCTATGATCTTAAAGGTCTTTTCCAACCACTACAATTCTGTGATTCTATGATTAAATTAATTGAAACCTATTTGAGCTTCTGAATTGCTGCAATGTGTTGTGGCCTTTTCTGTATGACACTAGACTGCCCTCAGCGTGATGGCTTCTCCTTAACTGTCATAAACTTTTGAGAGTTTTAAGCATCATCAAAACAGACCTGTAAACACTGGACTTATTTTTATCCTACAGCTTACTTCCCTTTTTCATAAACCCCCTGTATCCTCGTGGGGGGACCACACTGTCCTTTTGATACCCATGTTCTTGTGAGATTTAGGTCCTGCTCTGTCTTCCAGAGGTCCAGCATTTGTAAAATCAGAACTCATGATTGCACACCAGTTTTTACATACCTTCAAAGCCAGCCAGCCCTTGTTGGCTTTGTTTACTGTTATTACAGCCATGCATTTCAATTTTTCTAGTGATTTTTTCTTCAGATCTGAAAGTTCTTCCTGAAATTGATCACTTCAGCAACATTGACGCCTTAAATGTTGGGTTGCCAGGGCATCTTTTCACTACCTTGCATGTATTCACCTGTGAAATCCACTGCATTAATTACAGCAATCTCTGATGTTAAACTTCAAGTGTGCTGGACGTTTCAGATAGAAATGTTGAAAATGACACCCAACATCTCTATGATGGAAAATCCAAACAAAACCCACATTTTTAACCTTTATGTACAAAAGATGAGCAGCTTAGGTTAAGCTCTTCACTTTGTGTTGTTCTACACAACTCATATAAGCACAATTGTATCTGTGCCGTGTCTGTTTTTAGAGTAAATCGACTTTTTAATGTCAAACTTTGAAGGACATTTTCATGCTCTCTCTTTCTGACCCTTGCTTATTTGTGTGAGAGCATTTATTTACATGTGTTCATATCGATATTTCACTTGGAAGCCAGAATCATGTGACTTCCAAAGGTCATCAGGGATTTTGAGTTTTATATATTATTGTGTGGATGTATTTACCACTGGAGGAGGAGTGGGGGAAAAAAAACCTCAAAACTCTTCAGGTGAGCTATAGCTGGTGTTAATTTAGGCAAATTCTGCATGACTAACTTTGAATTTTCCACAATATTGTGTCAGAAATTTCCAGTGGGACAGCCAATTTGGAAACTGTGAGGAAGTAGAGAGAAAAAGACTTTTTAGTGTAGAGTTTTAAACAAATTAGCTATTGTAAGATACTTCCCCATCTGCACACACAAAAAAATAGTCAAGTTGCCCACGTATTATGCAATTTGGTAGTGAAATAATCATATATTTCAAAGAGATGCTTAATGAAGATGGTGGCAAGTTCCTTCATCTGATTTTTGTTTTTTCTGTCATAAATTTGGGCAGTGTAAATGTAACTCTTTCTTCTTAACTCTGCTTGCCTATTTCTTAGCAATTTAAACACACGGACTGAGGAGGTTTTATTATTTTGCTTAGGAAGCTTGGATTTCCTTTTTTTCCCCAGTGCTTGTCCTCTTGTTGGAGTGTTTTCTGTAGCCAGCAGCATTGTTTTTCCTCCCTGGCAATTTTCCGTAGGTCATATTGGTGAGCATTTAAAAAGTGAATTAAATCACAAAGCTGAAGAAAGCCAAGGGTGAGCCAGAATGCAGGTACACAACTGGAGTATGAAAACACATGAATGACAAAGGGCTACTTGGGCCATGTTATGTGTATTGAATGCCTACTACAGAGCTTCTCCATACCACGCCTGATTGTTTATTACATGTGATGACTTAAGTTTAACTATGATTTTTCTGGCAACCTTTATCTGTGTTCTCTCTGAACACTGCTCCTGTGTCTGGCACACCTGGTTTGCTGTCACTTTGCAAATCATCTCTGAACAGGGTCATTCTTCCTTGTCTTGACTTGCATTGTATATTAGTGTGTTCTTTAAATTAAACTTCTTTGTAGCCTACTATGTCATCCTCTGCCGTGGTTTACACAGGAGGTGTTGTATATGAATTATATGTGACTGCATGCATATATTGTGGTTATTTTATAGGTGGTGATTCGTGCTCAAAACGGTGATCTCCTCTATCGTATTTCACCTTGGGCAAGATACGTAGTCCGTGAGGAAAACAAAGTGAATTACGACTGGGTTCATTGGAGTCCACCACAGTCATATATAGTAAGATTTAAATATTATTTTCAAAAGGTGTATAAAACTCTGTATTGTGTCGTGTTTGTATCCTTGCTTGGAAGAAAAAAAAACAACAACCAACCAACCAAAAAAAAAACCCAAAGAAAAGAAACCTTAAACGAGTTTACAAAACCAAAACAAAAATAAAACAAAACAGGTAGCTAACTAGTTAAAGTAGCTACCTGAGAAATTAAGGATTTTTATTCATGTCTTCGACAGAAATAAGTGACTTTAATGATGGATTTTTTGAGCTACTTTTTCAGTCTCTTGTAGGGTATATAAAAAAGTGTTACCCATGAAGCTTGGCTTCCTGCATGCTAGGCAAGCTCTAACTATTCAGGACTAGGTGGCTCTTCCTAGTGCAGAGGAGAGGAGCGAATAATCAGAATTGGGTTTAAGGATTAGTTAGCTGCAAATACAGAGTTCAGTACTCCAATAATAGGTCAATACCATATGCAGTCAGAAAAAAGCTTTCAAAAATAAGATGCAGTTAAATCCTTGTTTCTTTGTATCAGGAAAAGCCGTTTATTGGTATTAAAGACCTCTTACTTCTCATGCATACCTATAAGGGGGGATTGTTTCCTTGATAAAGGAAAAATATCCTAGGATATTTTCAGAAACTTCAGACTGTCTGAGTGATGTTATTTCATTTTATTACACTTTGTGCTGTTTTCACTGAAAAGTAGTTTGCAGTATTCTGCATTAGAGGTGCTGCAGTCTCTGCTTTGAGTTAAATTTTAGCATGAACATCAAATTACAAAGCATCTGCTTGTCAGAAAAGGGGTAACTCACATGGAAAATATCTTTAAAAAAAAAAATCATTACATAGTCTACAGTAACTTTCTTATTTAGGTATAGAGTTCATAGGAATTGAGCCACATATCCCCTATCTATGATGCTATGTGTGACCTATAGGATCCTCTATAAGAGGAGGAATGGGGAAATTGGAAATGTAGTGATCTGTGTGACCTAGAGGGAAAAGGAGACGAGAACATTTAGGGTGCAGACAAGACCTGACTGAGTTAGGTCAGGAAAAAAAAAATTGAAAAATTAGTCCTTTTATGAGTAGGAGAGGTGCCCAGTAGAAATAAAATATAAGGAACAAACCTCAACCAGTATTTCTTGTTCTTCAAATTTTTCCTTAAATTTCTGTTCACTCTTCATGCATATGAGTGTTTTTACTGGTTTTGTTCTAACTTTTCAAAAATTCATTTAAATATTAAACTAACAAATAGAATATAAAATCTTGTAAGTTTTTTTCTTTTAATTGGTAGAGGGAGGAAAAGAAAAAACTTTTGTGGAAAAATAGGTTTTAAGCAGTAGCTTTCATAAGTTTCTTCAAACAAGATTTTTGTTTTAAAAAGTAAAATTCTGATCAAGTGTAAGCTTTTCAAGTGTAAGAAGGAGGTTTTGTGATGAACTTCAATTGCCTCTGTATTCTCTAAATATTTTTCACTCATCTAGAAATACTGTGTATTGACCTACAGACTTGGAATTTTTTTATTTTTTTTTTTAAAATTGCCTCTGTATTCTCTAAATATTTTTCACCCATCTAGAAATACTATGTATTGACCTACAGACTTGGAATTTTTTTTTTTTTTTTTTTTTTAAATCCTAAGTAATTGGAATACAGATTTTGTGCTGTGGAACTGTGTTCTTTGGGCATAAAATATTTATAAATTTTAGTTCAGAGAAATCAGAGTCACTTCAAATACTTTAAGAAGTAAAAACCTATTTTTCTATCGTCATCTTTTATTTTCAAATAAGCTTCAAATAATTCAGAATAACTTTATAGTACAATGGCTGCTCTAAGTTTGTATGCTTCAGTGTAATTTAAAAAGGGTGTAAGAAAAGTGCTGAATCATGAATGTCCAGTTTCTTGTTAATGAAGAATATGAATTTGAAATAGACATTTCCTTTAACAGGTTAGAATGTTTAATTGCTTCTGAAATGTTTGTACTCTTTGAGGAAAACCAAACCAAACCTTACATTGTTTTTCATCTTGCACAAATGGTGTGAGTGTGACAACAATTCCAAGCTGGTGTATCCTAATGACAACTGTTTGTTTTTTCCTTTTAGCATAAGCATCCTCCCCCCAAAAAATTAAAAAGCCTCAGAATCTATGAATCTCATGTGGGGATTGCTTCCCCAGAAGGAAAAGTGTCTTCTTACAAAAACTTCACGTACAATGTACTACCTAGAATAAAGTATCTTGGTAAGTAATAACAGAAACTTACAGAGATGAAATTTTTATGTGCCTGTGCTCTTATTAGAAAACATAATTATCAAGTGTCTATAGGGTTTTTTGCATTTTCATATTACATGTACTATAAAAATAGATTCTTGGTGCAGCAAAAAATTCCAAACAATTGAAATCTATGGAGAAGAAACAAAGACTGAAATAGGATATGTTAATGAAAATCAATTCCACAGATTTTTTTAAGTAAAATGTGATTACAAAAGCCTAGATAAATATTTCAGGGCAGTTTGCTTTTGGCATGGTTAGCTTTCAACTTGAAAAAGAACCCATTTTTGTGAGATAGCCTTCAGAAAATTCTATATTCTTAGTTGGTTATACTAATGTAAATCCTGATTCTAAGGAAAGACAAATAAATATCTGGATAAGAAAGGATTGTCCTTTCTGTTTGCCAGAATAAGAGTGCTAAATTTTTTATCCCTCAACAGTTGCTATGAAGTACCAGAACATGGCAACTTTAAAAGTGAGAAATCCTCTTTTAGAAAAGAGCATCTGTTCGATTGAAGGGGATGTAGGAAACAGCTGGCATGATTATCTCGGGAAGCGTAGCAAAACTGTTCACCTCAATTTCTATTTGATGATTATTTTTTTTCCTGTGGTGTCTTTGCACTGTTTGTATAATGAGCAATGTTCAAACTTGCTGACTTTTACTGCCCTGTGATGAAATATGTTTTATTACACTCAACTGTAAAATAATCGTGCCATCCGTGGCTGAGACCTCTGTGGGTGGTGGCTGTGCTTACATGTTTGATCATTTTTTAAAAAAATTATTATTTTTTAAAAATTTATCAGGGTGGCTGTAGAAGCCATACATTTTTCTTATAGTTTCAGTCAGTGTTTCACAGATTGTGGTTTTTGCTTTCCAATAAAGTTGAGCTTCCAGGTGAGATGAGGGATTTTGCCCATCTGGAGGCCCTCAACAAAAAAATAAATTTGGATTCCACATTATATGTCTGTGACTCTTTCCTTGCTGCCAAAAAAATTTGAGTCATTTAATATGTTTAGCAGAATTCTGAAAGCTTTCTGCTATACCTACAGATTTTGCTTTGGGGAGGAGAAATGTCACAAAAAGATTGATACACCGCAACATAAAAGCAATGTCATATTTAGGTAGGGTATGCTGAAATGATAGGTAATGTTTGTTCTTGTTTAAGTCAGTCATTAAGTAAGCACTGTGGGAATTAAGGTTGTTGGGTTTTTTTAAAATGTATTTTTAAGAGGTATTAGATTTGGTTTTGGAATGTCTTGTTAGGACAAGCTTGAAAAGCTTAAGGACAGCAGTATTTAAGAATGCTGAGATATGAATAGTTTGTAGGAATATGTGTATGATAAATAGCAAGCAAATCGAATGAGGTTAATTTGATGCTGTGTTGCTGTTTATCTGTAAAAATGCTGTAAGTAAGAGTAAGTGCAATGAGCCTGGATTATACAGCAGCACTGAATCTGACAAATTGCTGAGCTTATGCCAATGGTATCTTCATAATAACTTTTATAGCTGCGAAATTTAAAAACAAAAACTGGAACAATAAAAACAAAACTGGTATCTTGTCTGAACTAAAGAATGAAGTGAAGATTTTGGTTAAATTAAGAGAAGTGATGATGGTGGGAGTCTCAACAGACTGTGGATTAAAGCTGAAGGTTGTCTTTTGCTGATAGTCCTTACTTGATAGCTCCTTGGGGCACTTGCTGATGTTGAAGATAGCTTTAGTTAAGATGTGTGGCAAGTTCTGTGGCTTCACCATTAGTATGGGTTTTTTTCCCTTTGGGTTTCCCTCCCTTAATATCACACTGAACTCTCTTAAGTGATTCATGTGACAGCGTTTCCCTGACCCTCCAGTACCGCCTTAGTTCTTTGGTAAACTCAGAATAAAAACACATTACTTCTTTGTTTCCTCTTCTAGAGGGGAAATGTAATCCTTAAAGTTGGAAGAAAGTGTTTTTGAAGTGGTAAAAGAGGTTCCATTGGGCAGAAGATGTAGTACGTGTAGCCAGTGACTACCCCCACACCCCCTGACTGCAAGTGTCAAAAGTGAGGTGGACGTTCAGGACGTGCAGATTGGCATAGTTAATAATAATGAAGTTAAATTAAGCTTATATTTGCATATCACCGCTTTCTAAATCTGCAAGATTCAAAACACCTCGTTATATGTCGACCACTTGACAAATTGACCATTCAATTTTTAATGGAAGATCATGGACATATAAACTATTAGGTAGAACTGCTTCTTGAAAAAGACTGACTCTTCAGTTGTTAATCACTAGAGCCAGAAGCAGCTCCAATGAGAAGCCTGGAATGGGTATGTTATGAGTGTTGAATTATCTTTTAACTCTCCTTAAGGTGGGGGGTTGCTTTATTTCTTCTGTTTTGATAGGCTATAACTGTGTCCAGGTGATGGCTATTATGGAACACGCATACTATGCCAGCTTTGGTTATCAGGTCACAAGTTTCTTCGCTGCATCAAGGTAGGTCTAAGCATTTCAGCTTCTTCTCTGCTCTTTTAGCTTACTCCCCATCCACTGAAATCAGTCTGCCTGTGTGTCTGTGTTTGCAAGCAAGTGTTTAATGGGAAGAGAAAGTAATGGCTTAAATACTTGCTCTAGTTTCCTCTGAAATCTGAAATCAATTGGGTGTAGTCATCAGCTGTTCTGTGACATACTTTGTATAGAATACAAACAAAAAAGTTGTAAGTAACTTCAGCTGCCATAGCAGATTCCAGCTAATCCAGCTTCGGCAGTCTTTATGCGTGGGTTTTGTGTTGTGGAATTCTTGGCAGTAACCAACACGATGTGTAAGTCATTCTTTTATGATAAATAGAACTATACACTACTTGTTTATTATAAACTTGATTAAAATCATGGCTCTGTGTTCTGCGGGAACTTTTTCTGTGTACTTGTAACAGACTATACTTAGATTTGAGGCCCAGGGTGAAAATAGGTGGAAAATGTATTCAGGTAACTAAGAAAATTATGATAAACCTGAATATTGTGATTTTTATTTTTTCTTTCTTTCTTTCTTTCTTTTTTTAAATATTGGTCTAGTTCAAGGGACAACCAGGCTAAATCTAGGTAGACTGGAAGTTTTAACTGGCTGAATTATGTAAAAGAAATGTGGGTTGGACACAGGAAACAAAAATCTGTATTTAAAAACAAGTTGGAAAGTAGTGTAGTACCTAAAACAAATAACCAAGCAGGAGAGCAGCAGATGGTGTATTTTGGGCACTTTCATGAATGTTAATTTACTTTTGTAATCGTTATAGATTACTTTATTCCAGTAATATAAATATATTCTTGTCTCTTGCAAAGTAAGTCAATGTTCAATATTAAAGAGAAGCTTTAAGTTGTATTAGTTATGTTATACTGAATTTGATGTATTAACAGAGAAGAATAAAACATTCAGTTTCTGCTAAATGTTGCATGCATGCATAATGTAATTTTTACAATTAAAAACTGTTTTAATTCTTGGTTTGTAATCAATAACTACTACTTAAGAGGCTGAAAAAATAACCTGTATGCAACTGGAAACTAGGTGATGAAAAACTGGAGAAAAAGAGGCTGCTTTCCAACTCCCTGAAAGGAGGTGGAGAGAGGTGGGAGTCAGTCTGTTCTCCCAGGTAACAAGCAATAGAACGAAAGGAAACAGCCTCAAGTTGCACCAGGGGAGGTTTAGGTTGGATGTGAGGAAGAATTTTTTTCTTGAAAGGGTTCTCAGTCATTGGAACAAGCTGCCCAGGGAGCTGGTGGAGTCACCTTCCCTGGTGGGATTGAACAGACGGGCAGACGAGGTGCTCGGGGACATGGGTTAGAGGTAGAATTGGCAGTGTTGGGTTTATGGTTGGACTACATGATCTTAAAGGTCTTTTCCAACCAAAATGATTCTATGAGCTTTTTCTATGATTCTAACTGCTGACTTTGATGTGGATTCAGTGAGTAATGTTCAGTTTTATCAGCTTGAGCTCAGATTGTACCACTCATCACGCTTTGCCTTTTCATGCCGATAGCCGGTACGGGACTCCAGACGAGCTGAAAGAAATGATTGACGTTGCTCACTCAATGGGCATCATTGTTCTGCTGGATGTTGTACACAGCCATGCCTCAAAAAACTCTGAAGATGGTCTCAACCAATTCGATGGTACGGATTCTTGTTTCTTCCATTCCGGTCCTAGAGGAACTCATCAGCTCTGGGACAGCAGGCTTTTTGACTACGCAAAGTGAGTATAAAATGTCACTTCGTGTGTCTTAGTGGGAATTATTTCTTATCAGTTCTCTTAGAATGACACTATTCACCAAACCAGAAAAGTCACGTGGGTTGTTCAACAGGTACAATATTAAATTTAATTTAATTTAAGGAGTTAAATTCCTTTAGTTTGCTAAAAACTTAAAATCTAAGACTAAATAGTAGCATTGAGGTTTTGTTATTCTCTTGTCCTCTGTGACTCCATATGTACATATTGCATATCATATGCATTGTATGTATTATATATATATAATTATATTATGTAGTTATATTTCTTATTTTAAAATAGATGCAAATATTCTTATATGTAGATACCTATTTAAATATATATTATCTAGGAATATATATTATCTATAATTAATTATTATTATGCTTTATAAAATAGAGTAATTTATATTTTCATATTATGTACTATATTTAAATGTAATATATATTATATTTTTGTATAGAAATAAATAAAAGAATAACAAAAGCTGAAGAAAACTTGCAGGCTCTGTAAACTTACTGTGAAACTCTCAGATTGTTGAAATACAGCAAAGGTTTTGCCCCAGGACAACTAAATCCATTACAAATTGCTTCCAGAGTTTGATCCATCAGTTAATACAGAGGAGGAGTCATTTTCAGTTGGCAGCTTTAGGAATCCAGTTTGGGCACACCTAATTAGCTGGTATAAATAATGGGTGTGTCAAACCAGGTGTTAATGCCAGGTGATGATGATCAGCATTTAATATTGTTTACTTAGTGTTCTCTGAGGTACTGAGGATGGGGGATTTATCTCCTACGCTGAGTATTTTGGTGGTTTAAATAGTGAAACAGACACAGGCAGTCAGCTTATTTCAGTCTTTCTCCCACTTTTCCCATGTTAATTCATTCCTGAACCACCTTGAATTCTCCCTTTTATTATCTTTGATTCTTCCCATCAACAATGTTTCACACAACCCCAGAATCTCCTTCCAGCATTTCTTAATAAATTCTATACAGAGTAACTCACCTCTTATTCCAAGATAAATTTGCTTTTTACCCCCCTTGAGATGCCTGATAACCTTGTTTGTCCTTCTTATCAATTACAAAGTTCGGGTTTAACCCTTTCAAGGTGACCCTTGAGTAGTTCCTCCAGTGGCTCATCACTTGGCAACTGTGAAGTTCTGATCTCTTGTGAATCTATTAGTTGTTAGGATTTGTGTGCTGCACGGTCAGTTTGCTCTTTCCTGGTTTTTTTTCTTCCCCACTTGCATTGAATTGCCATTCAGTGGATATGCTTATGTTGCACATGTCCTTAAACCTTGATTCAGAATTACCTACGTTCAGTTAAGTTGCCAAAAAGGATTTTTTCTTCTTCCATTCATAGGCTGTGCTCTTGAGGCTGACCATAACTGATGGGTGTTGTAACCGTTTAAGGAGGTCACTATTGCAGAAATAATGTTATATAGCAGAGGTCAACTGTTTGTTTAATGGAAACTCTTGGACAGTAGCTCACAATTTCAATTACATGAGTGACTGGTGTCATAAATGGCTTACATGCTATTTTACTTAATAGCATGAGCTGTTGTTTATTTACTTTTTACTTGGGATAATTTAACTGATGAATTCAGGGGCCTTTTTGAATTGTGATTTTAATTATTATAAGAAATGCATTTTAGTATGTTTAATCATAAATAATTTTCTGTTTGAATAGCTTTCTTTTAATCTTCAGATTCATCTTCAGATAAATTCTATATCAAATCATCTTAAAGCTTTAATATCAATACAATGGTATTTCACACTTTATTTCATTTTATGTTTATGTATAATCAAGTGTGTGGTATCAACTTCTGAGTCTTTGGCTTGTCCTGTGCAGGGACAGCAGTTGGACTGGATGATCCTTGTGGGTCCCTTCCAACTCACAACAGTCTGTGATTCTGTGTTTATTCTAAGTTGCTCAAAACTAAATAAAAATATTGTTTGTGGTTTTTTTTTCTCCTCTCTTTCTTGAATACAGATACCAAACAAAATTTGAAAAGAATCAGAACTGGCATTTTATTAAAAATGTTGTTTGTTTTTTTTTTTCCATTTAGGCTTTACTGACATGCCTCCTAATTTCCATAGCAGTAAATGAGCAGCTCTAGTCTGAAAGAGGGGAGTATAAAATTCTGTGAGAGACTTGAGCTGATTGCAAATGTTCAAAGTTTGCTGCAAACAAAAATGACAAATGACAAAAAAGCTTGCTTTCCAAGACACCTCTCCTTCAGCTAGTCCAGCCTTATCCCCTGTACAGTGCTTCTACTAAGTCCCTTCTGTAGTGGGAAGAACTGATAAATCTACAGGTACTTAACCATCAAATACAAAGAATGCTCAATTTCCTTTGGAATTGAGAGAAACTAATTCTCTGCCGTGAAAGAGCTGGAGAAACAATTGCTTTATCAGTTTAGTCTGTCTGCATTTGGTTTGCAAGTCAAGATGTAAGTAAATTTGTCTCACAGCATTTGCAAGATGATTCAGTTGTCTGGGAAGGGGACTGCAAATACTTACTGTAACAGAAGATGGCAAAATTTAAAATTCATGCAAAAAAAGGACTATATCCATGGTGTATTTTAAATACTATATTTTTAGTAACATTCAGTTAAACAGAGAGTAGCTCCAAGAAAAGCAGTAGTAAAACTGCTCAAAGGACCATGTGGATGTTGCATCTGTAGCACCACAGTGCAACTTAAAAAGATAAAAGCATGTTTTGTGTTGTGAACTTTGAGACAATACTTAATGTAACAGCAGAACTGTATTTTTTAAATCCATGTTTATACAAGTGTTGTACAAACGGTGAACTTCTTGATAAATTGTAAACAGCAGCTCAAAAATTTTGCTGTTCAAAGTGTTGTCACCTGAGAATAAAACCTCAGTTTCGGTAAAATGAGAATTTGGAGGTAAAACAACTGCATAAGTAAAAGAATATTTTCTGCTTATCTTTTTTCAAGGAATGTATTATAAGTTCTGCTTTAAAAAAACAACAAAAACTGATTCAGATATGAACTCCACTTTCATAATTTTGGCACATTTTTCCAGTTTTTCTAAACTGTGCATTTTTTTCCTCAAATGTGTTAATTTGGTGAATCTTCCTCTCCTTCATCTCCATCCCCTCCTGGTCGTCTCCATGCCTGCCCCTCTGCCCCCCTCAGCTGCCAAGCCAAAAACGCCAAGCTTGAATGAGGATTGCAGTTTATTTTAGTAATACTTTTAAAAAACAAACTTTTATATCCTTTGCCTTGGTTCCTATTAAAAATATGGCTTTCCTATCCTTGAATTCATGAAAGGAAAATGCTGCAAAGTAAAAGGGATGCCACAGGCTCTGGACCTGGGGTGTAGCTGTCACAGTCTAGTTAATTTTGTGGTAAATTAAGTATCTTGTCTCTATCATGATGCTGTTGAAGAGAACTCACTCGAAATGCCTGTAAACACCCTCCCATCTTAAGTAATGATTTTGCTTGTAATTAATTTATCACAAGCTAAGTATAACAATTTTTCCTTTCTAAAGCCATATCTGAAGATTATTCAACTGCCAGGTTCATTAGACATGATGGTGTAGACCCTGGAGATCAGGTGGGATCGCTTCTAGAGTTGTTGATTGTGTTTTGATTTAAATTTATTTCTCCATATAGCAAATATGTCTAAAATACTCATCAGGTGAAACAATTTAAAAAGAATTGAGAACAAGGTATGACCTGGCAAAGATAAGTTTTTGGGTTTTTTTCCAAGCACTACATAATTAAACTATGTGAACGATGCTGCCTTTCTAGGCTTACTGAGGTCTGAGAGTGTTGTTTTGATTTTGAAGGCTCTGTATTCCTCTTCTCTTACTAGGCTTGGTTAGATTCTACACTGTCTTAATCCAATTCTAAGGGACAATAGATATACTGGTACATTTCTGTGAGCCTTTAGAAATAATGGAAGAAGTAAAACTCTGCAGAAATGATGTGGGGCCCTAAATTTTGTATTTGGTTTTGGTTTTGTTTTTGGTTTTGTTTTTTTTTTTTTTAATACTGTGACCCTGAGCACTTAGTCAAAATTTTAAATTCTTGCTGAAGCTAGGAGAATAATTTGGCACAAAAGTCACAGTTTGAATTACATTCTGGTTTTAATTCCAAAGCCCTGCTTCCTTGAATGCAGCACTGTGATCAGCAAGAAATGTTGTTAGTGAGAAGGTTCTGGGGCCAGCAGACATCCCTGGCATCTCTTTTAAGCTTTTTTTTGAGGCTGTTTTCAGGGCTTTTTTTTAGACTGTGTTTTATGTCAATGCTTTGGTTCTTCTGTGAAGGCACCAAATCATAACTAGTGGGAAACCTTTGACCTGTCCACCTAGGAGTTTTGTCTTGTTTTTATCTGTTTATGGTACTCTGCTTTGGGAATTAAAGCTGGTAAGTGTTGTAGAGGATCAGTGATCAGCTCTTTTTCCTCTTTCCTGTTATTTAGTAACACTGGAGCATGCATTTGATTAGGGCATGAGATTTTAGAACATGTTTTAGCACAGACTTTTATTAGTATAGCTAAGTTTTCTAATACAGTGGGTTAAAGAAATTGGTGTCTTTTGAGGAAAGAATCCACTCATTACTAAACCACAATTGGAAGTAAAGTTATCCCTATGACAATTACTCAGCTGACATAATTGTTTTGGTCAGTGTTATATTTCTATACCCTGACCTTTTCCAAGCAGGTGGAGGCAGTGCTAAATTCCCTCTTCCCTTCCTTCTCCTCCCTCTCTCCCCTGAAGCAAAAATAAATGGAAGAAACATTTAAGTTTTTGTTTTATTATGACACCACATTCATCAGAAATTTAAATAGTTAGAATAATAAATAGTCAACTGTGAAACACTAAAATTTACATTATCAATGTTTTCAGGCTTCCTTTGCCACCACCTTCTTGGATAAGGGCATTGGAAAAGATGAAAATCTACTTTGACTATGTTATAAGAAATTCCAAGGTAATTATTTTGTCATTGGGTTACG